AACGACGACAGTCCATTAAAACCAAAAAAAAAAAAAAAAAAACAGAGAAACGTACATGGTTGATCTTAAAGGGGGAAGGGCGGGGGAGGGGGGGACGTGCTTGGTGGATCCCTTCTGAGCGCTTTTCGTTTCTTTTCCCCCCGTTTTTACAGTGTTCGATTTCTTTTTTCTTTTCCTTTTCTTTTTTCGGTGTTTGATTGATTGATCGGAGTTTTTTTTTTTTTTTTGGGGGGGGGTGTGAGGGTGGGGTGGGGAGCGTAAGAGAAGTGGCGCTGGGCGGGGCAGGATTCTCCTTGTCCGCTATCTCACCTTCACGCAAGCATGGCTAACCCCATCTTCTACCAGTTGGCTGATGGTGTCGATGGTTCGGAGAACGTTCTGCGCCTTCCTGTCGCAAGACTCGTTGTCAAGAGCATCTTCAACGCTGTGGTCCAAGATGCCACGTACGCCCCGATCCCGATTCCGCTCGAGTGATCGCGCAGCCTCCTCCAAGGTCTCCCCCGCGCAGAAGTGATGGTAGGTCGTTCGTCTCACCACTGCGTAGAGCAGGCGGGAGAACGCCTCGACGTCCATCGCACGAGATTGGAGCACTGAGCCAATCAAGGAAACGACCCAATCGTGCTTAATTAGCTCAAGATTGGCAAGAGAGCGGATAAGCTCGGAGGTCGGGATACCGTTATAGACGTCTGGATGGTCCATCAAATCGAGTAGGCAAAGAGACGGCGTAGTCCGATCACAACCTGCGGCCGCCGCGAACGAAGAGAGGAAATAGACTGGGGAGGGGGAGGAGGAGGAGGAGGAGGAATGCGAGGGGTAGGGGGAGGGGGAGGGTAAAGGGGAGAAGGAGGGGAAGGTGGAGGGGGAAACGGAGGTGGGAGATGGCATGTCCATGGAACTGTTGCATTGGAAGCGTCGGAACGGAACGGATTCCGTTCCGTTAGCGAATGAGACGGAGGCGCTAGCTGAAGGCGAAACTGTCGAGATGGGCGGGGTGGAAGGGGAGGGGGAGGTGTAGGCGCGGGAGGATCTGCAGGACGCGGTGGGGCAAAGCGTACTCCGCGATCGCCATAGCCGCGCACCTCCGCTGCATGCGTACGAGTAGCGCGCGCTCTTCCGCGCAATCGCTTTCAAAACCAAACCGCGGGACGACATGTGGAAACAAAAAAATATGTAAAATGATACTTCAGAATGTCTCCTCGTCGGTGGTCTTCGTCTTTGCAATCTTCGTCTTTCGTCTTCGTCAACCTCTCTCGAAATTATCTGATCTCATCTAATCTATATCCACAGAATTGCGCCACGTGTCAGATCTCTCTCTCTCTCTCCACGTGTCAGATCTCTCTCTCTCTCTCTCTCTCTCTCTCTCTCTCTCTCTCTCTCTCTCTCTCTCTGTGTCAAGAGGAAGATCTCTGCGGATTGACTGGGCGTCCATGTAGGTAATACGTCTTGGAGCTCATGCTGGTGGACTCTGGACTCTGCCGCTGCCTGAGGACAACACCCGAAAAAAAAGGCTAAAGACACCTCTGGCAACCATCCGTCGCACCGAGAAACGAAGGAAACGGCTGTGTCAGTGCGAATGAAATCTGCGTTGTGCAGATGCATAGACTCAATAGATAGATACACAGATGGAGAGAGAGAGAGAGAGAGAGAGAGAGAGAGAGAAAGATTGCTGTCTAGATGGAAACAGAACAGCAAGGTGGCAATGACTCAAATCGGGCAGCCTCCCTTCTCCTCCTCTCTCCTGCTCCTTTCTCCTCCCTCCTGTTTCTCACTTTCTTGTCTACTGACCAGTATGCTGTCTGAGCAACGCGAACCGTTGCCAGTGCGCCAGTGCTCTCTCTCTCTCTCTCTCTCTCTCTCTCTCTCTCTCTCTCTCTCTCACACACACACACACACACACACACACACACACATGGCTCTCTTGTTTCCGGTGGGTACCTTCTCGGGCCCTCGCGAGAGACGAGTTCAGCGGTGGCGTTCCGGAGAATATGGAGAACGAGAGAGGGAGGAGGATCTGGCAGTGCACACAGATCGCACGTAAGCGGAACGCTGACGACTGGATCGCGAACTGTGAGGGCACACTCACGCTTTCGGACTCAGCTGTGGAAGTAATTGGGGTCAGGTACATACAAGCCCGGGCGTAATTGCAGCCGGATACATCCAGATACGTCCTCGTGTGAGTATATCCGTGATCCTAGAAGGCGGGTGCCCGGTTGGGAAAAAAAATAAATAAATAAAAAATATTGACGGCTACCTGTACGCTTACCCACCCACCCCACTCATGGCCTGCTCCCCATTCTCTCTCTCTCTCTCTCTCAGTTTGTTTTTTCTTTTTTATTAATCCCTTTCTAAAGCCTTCGTCGTCGCGATCGCCGATTTCCTGTGGTTTCCCGTGTATCTGACCGCGATTACATCCAGATTCGAGTCGTTGAGACCCACCACCCCAGTTACCAATTCAACCTCCTGCTTTCTTACGCGCACGTGCGTAAGGAAAAGCAGCCCTTCGATATCGGCGATTTCCTGTGGCTTCCCGTGTATCTGACCGCGATTACATCCAGATTCGAGTCATTGAGACCCACCACCCCAGTTAACAATTCAACCTCCTGCTTTCTCACGCGCACGTGCGTAAGGAAAAGCAGCCATTCGATATGCGTCTGCTCCCCTCTTTTTTGTTGGGGGGGGAGGAGGGGTGATATCTGCTCCTATTGCACTTCTGCTCCTATTGCAGTAGGGTGGTGAAATGGGGGGAAGGGGAGGGGGAGGGGTAGGGAGGCGGGGGAGGGGGGAGGAGGGGGGAGGAGGGGGGGGAAGAGGAGGAGGAGAGGACGGGTCCAAAGTTGGTCACTGCAACATACTGTAATTTTGCGGCGGCACGCGATCTCTACATATGTGGACGTTTGTTCTTGTTTTCTTCTTTTTGTGCGTGTTCTTTTTTTTTTTTTTTTTTTTTTTGTGTGTGTGTGTGTGTGCGCGTGTTCTTGTTATTTCTCTTTCCGTCATGTCATGTCTGTGCTGACTCTGCTTCTCGAGACAGAGCGGACTCGCACAAAAACGTTTTCGACAGTGCTCTGGACGCAATTGCGGTCAGATGCGTCTAGGCGCGGCTGCAATTGCGATCACGTACATCCAGGGATGTCTTAGCGTGAGCATGTCCTCATATGCTGTATTCTGGTGTGTATATGCGTGAGCTCCTTCCTGAGTACACTCTGCTCTCTTTGCTTCGAGTACAGTAGAAGTAAATCAATGAACGTGACCCGCATGACAGGCCAAATAAAGCCAGTATGTGCTCTTCGCTCGCAGATATAGAGTCAAGTAGACAAGAGTAGAGAAGGGTATACTAGACAAGAGTATAGACAAGGAGGGTATAGGCAAAGAATACGTCGATTAAACTATAAATAAACAAACGGACAAGAAATACAAGACAGGCAGAGCGTGTACTATGTATGTATGGCCCCAGATAGAAAGAGATACGGTATCTTAAAAAAAAAAACAAAAAAAAAAACGATATAGGCAAGGAATAAGAAGTAAGGAATAGGCAACGTATAGATAAAAACATTGGCAAGAATATCTACACAAGAATACAGACAAGGGGCCTCGCTGCACTACTCTCGAAATGTGCAAAACGAGAGTGAATCTTCCGCTAGAACACGGACAAATACACCGCCATGATTTTTGTCTGTTGTGCATGTCGAGAGTAGTGCAGCGAGCCCCAAGAACAGACAACAATGCAGACAAACGATACCCCCACAAGAAAAGTAAGTAGAGAAGAATTCACAGGAAAAGGACAACAAACAAAAAAAGGATGGGGGTGTAGCTCTCTACCGGATATATAGAATAGAGGCGAAGATAGACATGAAAATAGAGAAAATAGACGAGTATAGACAAGGAAATGGAGAACAATAAGATTAAAAAAAAAAAAAAAAATAGACAGGGAGCACAGGACAGAAAGGAAAAGGGAGCTAATCATCCTCTACCGGATATTACTATATTACATAGCTAAGGTGTTAGAGAGCCACCAGGTTATTAAAAAAAAATATATATATATATATATAGCTAAGGTGTTAGAGAGGCACCACATAGTAGAAAGGACAATATAAAGAATTAGGGTACAGAAGACAATATAGGCGGAATGACAGGGAGACAGAAGGTAAGTCAGACACGTGTGCTATAGAGAGAGAAAGACGACAAGAGGTAAAAAAAGATGGGCAGTACATAAATTCATTCAAATACAAGGAAAAAGATAATCATAGTGAAAGAAAAAAAAAGTCGGATAGGAGATGGCGAGACGGGCAAACAGATAGACGCATGTAGTAGGGAAAACAAAGAAAATCAAGATTAAAAAAAAAAAAAAAAAAAAAAAGAGGATCTAGTCAGAAAGGAGTAGGATGGGTACACAGACAAACAGAGAGACGGGGGGGTAGCGTAATGTCAAAATGTCAAAGGAAAGGGGACAGATCGACAGATCCGACCATCATATCCACACAGCGGTGTAATCCGACGGCAAACATGTGCGACCAATAATCTCGAAAATCTCGAAAAATTCCTCTCCGAAAGATCAAACCAGCGTAATGCCACTGAGATGAAGGGCAGGAAGATAGACGAGAGGCCGATCGTAGATATGCCTAACTGTGAGTTGGCATATATAGATAACAAGTATAAGATTGAGACCCCCGCCTGTGCCCGCGCCCACTTTCAATTGACCTCCTGCTGGAAATACCAAGACGGGCAAACGAAATCGGCAGAATAGACAAAAAGAATATTAGACAAGAAAAGAATATAGACAAGAATTAGATTGATTGCTTTATTAACTTCCCGACTGATTGATAACTCGATCAAGACCTCGATCGATTGATTGCTTGATTGATTGCTTGATTGATTGGATCAGTCGGAGTTGATTGATTGAATGGTTGATTGATCGATTGATGGATTGATTGATTGATTGATTGATCGATTGATTGCTTGATTGATTGCTTGATTGATCGATCGATTCAATGCTATCGATTGATTGACTGATTGATTGACTGATTGATTGACTGATTGATTGATTGACTGATTGATTGATTGATTGCTTAATTGACTGAGTGATTGATTGATTGTTGGGTTGATTAATGACACGTCCGAAGCAGTAGCAGTCGCCTCTGCGACCGCTCCTTGGATTATTTTGCACGATAAATCTCCCCCCTTTATTCTCACTTACCTTTATTCCTTCTTTTTTTTTTAATCCAATTACTGTATTTTCCAACCGATCGCTCACCTTTATTCCTTCCCTTTTGTTTAATTCAATGATTTCCCAATCGACTGCTCGCCTTTACACGTGTACCCGATTTGCTAAACTCCTCAAGTCCGTACTCGCAAATTTGAAGGGAAAAAAAAAAGAAAAAAATGTATCTGCATATACTGTATTACACGCAAAAAAGAAAACGAGCGCCGCTGATGCGGATGCGGAGTGCCCGCCCCACCACTTTCCCCTCCTCTATGCCATCAATCCACCAAACCGGCCCGGAGTGTGACATACAAGGTCCTTTTTTTTTTTTTTTTTTTTTTTTTTTTTTTTTTTTTCTTGCGAGGTCCACTAAATCATAGTGTATTGACATCGGACTTATCTAATCTAATATATTATTCATAGTAATAACTATTTATCTCTGTACCTAGCCATCGATCATTTTTTTTTTTTTTTTATATATATCTATATTTATCGAGTCGCCCAAGCACGAACTTCAACGACCCGAGTATCGTCAAATAGATATTAATTTACCTACCTGTAGGATTTAGGCCCTCGCCACACCACTCTCGAAATGTGCAAAAGACAAAAATGTGCCGGGTGCATCTGGCCATGTTCTAGCGCGAAGTTCATTCTCATTTTGCACATTTCTCGAGTGGTGTGGCGAGGCCCTTATAGCAGCAGGAGGAGAAGAAGGAT